AAACATAGGCTCTGCAGGCCCCAGACAGCTACTCTCTGCTGGGGCACGTGACAAGAGGGCTAGTGTTTGAGGGTTCTGGTTGCTAAATGGACATGAGAATTGATGAAGTACTGTCCCTGGGGGACTGGTCACTCTGTGGTTTGAGGCTGGGGTTCCCACAGGAGGCTATGAGGGTGTGGCTGGAGGCTGAGGGTGGGTGGCTGCAGAGAGGAGGGGTGGGGTGACTGCTGGAGTGGTCACCAGGACACCTGTGATCTCCTGAAGTTCACAGGACCCTCTGTAAGCCAAGCAGGCCACAGGCCCCACTGCATGGTTGCACAAAGGTTGGTAGTGAGGCACTGATGATGGGGGAGCACACTGACATGACCCGAAAATGTGCCACTTTGGTACTGAAGGGAGCTGAAGGCAATGAGGACCCACCAGACTCAGAGTTGTCTTTTTTTTTTTTAATATTGATCGTTTTTATCCTCTTTCATTCTTCAAAATACATATTCTAAAGGAAACCACAGTACTGATCACATATATTTTTTAAAGAAACTTCTCAGGTTTAATTTCTAATTAAATATTGATTGAGAGATTATCTTTCAGAAACCAAAGCTCTTTGGTTACCTAATATATATTTTTAAATAATAAAGTAGTTTATTTTTACATCATTTTGTGCCTTTTCCCATCTCATTTGTAATCCCCGTGGGCTTCCCATCACCAGATCACCCATGTGCCATCACCATAGTCCAGTGCATTTCCCTCCCCCCACTGTTTTTGATCCCATTCCCCACTCCACCCCCACAAAATGTCTCTGGTATATAGTTGTTCGTTATTATTATTATTTCCTCGCCTGGTCCTTTATACTCAGAGTTGTTTTTTAATCTCTCCCTTCACTGCCTAAGTTACTTTAGACAGAGGGCAAAAACCAGGGAAGGGAGCTAATAGCAGAAATAAATAAGTTTACATCACAAACACTAATCTGAAAGGCATAGGAAACATTTGTTCATCAAACATTTGCTATTCCCATCTTCTTCCCTTCTTGGCACAAGGACACCCCAATTGCCTGTCCTTGGTTCTCATATCTTTGGAATTCCAGTATGTATAAAATTTGTTTTTCACCTGTTAGGCTTTTGCATGTCAATTTAATTACCAGACCAGCCAATGAACCGAGAAGGAAAGAAGCTTTCTCCCCTTTTGCTAACATCCCTGCCTATCTGGGAACCCCTTGGGCCACAGGAGAAGGCTGGGTGGGAATTCAGGTGGGGAAGCCAAGGCCCTTGAGACAAGTTCACCACCTCGGTAACTGCAAGTTCTGTAAGAAAAGAAAACACATGCCCTCTAAAGAGGAGATTTCAATGGCCTCCAACTTGAAATCTGTTCATTTCTCAAATCCACAATTCCCCAAAGCAGAGCTGAAATCTGTTTATGAGGAACAGTGAGCCAGCTTCTTGGCTGAGGTGAGTCTGGCAGAAGCACAGCACTGAGAGGGGTTCCAGACCAGGCGAGCAGCATTGCATCATTAGCCTGTGAGTTTCCCTGCTACTTGGAGCCGAGTGTCCCCCTGGGTGAATACAAAAACCCAGGATAACAGACCCAAGAAAAACAGCTTCCCTGTCTCCCCTGGGATCACTGGCCCAGCACTCCCACTCTGCAGGAAGGCGGTCAGGTCTCCCCCACACCCATAGGCCATGCACAGCAGCACACCCTTCGTTTTGAAGCCACACCTTGTAAGAAGCAGCTTCTTATGAGAAGTCACCCCTGGGGTTGCTTCCACCACTGGGAGGCTGAGATGAGATGACTGAAAGCGCAGGATGGAGAGGGGGCGTGAGGTCAGTATCCACCTCTGAGGGGCTCTTGTGGGGCAGCAGTGTTCACTTGATCAGGCCGACAGGAATGTTACAGGCAGGCCCATCCGGGCATTGGCACTCCCAGGGAAGGCTGGGCTGTGCCTGCAGGGGCACTGGGCACACCCATCTTCTCCTACCCTGGGACAGTGAACTTCCAGGTTGTCCAGTCTTTGCACCTGGACTGAATGATACCACCAGTTTTATATTTTCTTCAGCTCACAGATGGCAGACTGGGGGGCTCCTCACCTCTCTATTTGTGTGTCTATTCTTATAATAAGCCTCCCTTTCTCTCTCTCTATCCTACTGATTCATTTCCTCTGAAGACCCTGCATCTAGATTTTGCTTCTTCCGTGACTCTGGTACTGTGGCATAACCAGCAGATCCCACAGCCACCTGATAGCAAATAAGTGCTCACCAACAACTCCTGAGACCAACTTTTGCAGATAAATTCATCAGACCCATTTAAAATTAAATGTTCTAGCTGTAATATAAATTAGAATAAAAGGTAGTTTCTAGTAAGAGGACTTCCATTTCCATGCAAAAATGCTTGGATAAGCTCTCCCTAGAGACTTGATCAAGTAGACAGAGGCCTTCACCTACTTAAACTAAGCAAAGGATTACTTTCAGAGAAGTTGCTTTACCTTTAACTTCTTGAAATACAGTTAAGCGTTGCCAAGGGGAAACGGTTTTCAAAAATGCAGAATAAATCAATAAAATCCCAAGCGAAACAAAATGCAGTCCTCCCAGAATGTATACGATGTCCTTCACCCCCAGACGCGTCTGGGAGCAGGAGGTTTGCAGGTCGCGTGAGATGCAGGGAAACTCGCTGTCCTTCCAGACTGCCCCCACCTTGCAGGGCGCCAAGCCGCGTCACTGAGACAAGCAGAAGGTGGCGGTATCCCTGGGGACGCCAGAAGGTGGCGGTATCCCTGGGGACCCACCGCCGCCGCCACCGCTGAACTTGCGGCCACGCCAGCCAGTGATACAGCTTTTTCCAGAGTTGCAGGAGACAGAAGCCTCGGCAGCTCCTCCCGCCTATCAGGGAGCGTAGATGTTCTCGGTTGTTCTTCTGGAGAACCGCATTGAGACTTCTCTGGAGTGAACTGGGCTCCGGCCGCCACCCGCCGCACGGAAGACCGGCGCTAGCGGCTCCCGTCCTCCCAGGAAAGTCATTCTCACAAATTGCCACAAGGGGGCGCCCTGACACCCAGAATCGGGACACTTCCAGATTTGTGAAATGTTAAAATGAAACTGTAGGGGCAGTAGAGAGGACAAGCTGAAAACAGTGAGTGAAAGAATTCATCATTGGACGTGAATAGTGCTAAATTTGGCACCGCGGTCCAGTTTTCCAAAATCTGCTGTTAGCACCCAGTGATTTTGTAAGTGGCATTTCCAAAATAATAAAATTTCCCAAACAGGTTAAAGCATAGCACTATGATGCTAGAAGCAGACACTTCACAAGTTCGATCCCCGGCCAGGGAGATGACCCACATGGCCGGGCAGACCTCTCCTGACCCGCCCGCTGCTCCCCTCAGCAGTGTACTTCGTCTTTCTGCCTGTTCTGCTCCCCACTCTGTCTCTGGTGAATCCTCTCACCCACCACACCTCTGGCCTGTACCCCAGTTCTGTAAGCATAAATAAATAAATCTTTAAAAAACAAAACAAAAACAAACCAGTATCTGGGTCTTTCCCAGTGCCATTGAATCAGAATCTCTGGCAGTGAAAAGCAGCCCTTCCTCCCCAAGGCCTGGCTAGCTCAGGCTTCGCCTCTCCTGACTCCCAGAGCGAGCACAGGCCCCACCTCTCATGCCTCATGCCTCATGCTTTGGCCCCTGCGGCCTCACCTGATCTCTCCCACCACTGAGAACTCTGGCCAGCCTGCTACACACCTAGTCCATTTCTGCCTCCCCCACCCAGCACCCAGCCTGGTCTACATTGCGGACAGGGAGATCAGAGGCAGCTGTGCTGTGTGTCCAGGGTGTGTCGTGTCTCAGACAGAGTCCAGAGAGAAACGGGTTGAGGTATATGCAGAAGCATCCACTGACCAGTCGGCCTTGAGAGCTAAGGAAGAGGAGAGATTGGAGCACAGGCCCTGCTCCTAGGATTGGTGATTAGCCAGATGGAGGTCCGGGAGGAGCTGGGGGAGTTTGGCTTAGGTGTTTGTGGCTATGACACAGGGACGCCAGGCTGCTGAGCAGACAGCATGCTGCATGGAGCAGAGGAGAACTGAGCCCAAGATGGAGATTTGCAGTCATCAGCCTAGAGGCATCTCTGACTCTGGGGGCATGCAGGAAGGCGGGGTGACAGCGAGCCCCTGAGATCAGCGTGGTGGAAGAGGCTGGGGAAGACTGAAGGAACAGCTGAGGTTGGGTGACAGGTGCTGTCTGACAACCAAAGGAGAAATTCAGTGAGTGGGAAGCCGAGGGACTCTTCACCCTGCTCCCTCCTCCTCAACACATTGCTTTCTCCTCAGCCAGCAGCCATCTTTTCTTCAGAGCCAGCAAACCACAGCTCAGGGCTCTAGGGGCTTCCTGCACTGAAAGCCAAACGTCTGGTGTTTCCCTTCCTACGGGGCCATTTCACCTTGATTCCTCCTGGACACAGCACCAGGGTGAATGCCAGAAACAGGAGAATCCCATGCACGAAAGGCAGACGCTGCCCCTCGCCTCTCTGGTCACCTGCTTCTATCACCTCCTTTCCCTGTCTGTGTAAATGAAAAACGAATTTCCAGGAGAGAGATAGAAACAGACAGTTAGCTCTGAATAGGGCGTCAGGACGAGGTAGGCCCTGTTTGGGAGAATTGGATCAGTGGCAGAATGCTACCTGAGCTTCAGGATGTCGGGGTGGGGATGAGAGTGAGGTCAGTATTAAATGACAAAAAATCACCAAGGAAGGGATGTCATTTTATTCTCAGACCATGATGCAGCTTTAACAGATGCCTTGGAAAGCTAGGGGATGCTGGGTTAAGTCTCCAGTTCCCAGAGGGAGTATAGGGGGGAGGGAACCTGTAGGTGGTAGAGCTGTAGCCCTCTCCTCCTCCTACGAGGCAGAACTGCATTCTTGCATCTGAAAACCAGGTCAGAAGGAGTTTCTGAGGCCGTTCAGCTGCTGCCTGCCTTTGCCCCGTCAGGTTCTGGCTTTGTCGCCTCTGCCCTCTGCACCTTGTACCTAGGGTGTTTGCGCCTCAACAGACACAGTGACCCTCACAGAGCCACAGCTTGACTTCAAGTCCCACACTTGACTGGCATTGTATGTCAATGCCGGGGAAACAGAACCCTGCCTGGAAGACAGCTGGACCCTCAGCCAGCGACACTGGGCCTCGTTGCAGGCCAGGGTCACTGTGCCCTCTGGGTTGCTGTAGGTACACCGGCTCCCGGCTACCTTTCTCTCAGCAGCCAGGTCCCAGGTGCCCCCTGGCTCCCTGCCATCCAGCCCTGCGGCCTGGAAGCCCAAGCGGTCCTGGGTGACAGGGCATACCAGCTGCTCCTCCCTCAGGGCAGGCACCGCCCATCCTTTCAGGTAGTCAGGGCCCGCACAGTAGATCTGGGTGCTGAAGAACTGGTCGCTGTACTGGTACAGCCAGCTGAAGAGGTAGGCCAGGTGGCAGTCACACTGCCAGGGGTTACCGTGCAGGGCGAGGTTGAACAGGTTGTAGTTGGTGTCGAAGATGCCCTCGGGGAGTGTGGTCAGGAGGTTCTTGGAGAGGCTGAGCAGCTCCAGCTTGGACAGGTTCTGGAAGATGGCAGGGTGCAAGGCCGTCAGGTTGTTGCTGCCCAGGTAGAGTTTGGTCAACTCCTTCAGGTGGCCGAAGGCCCCTGCCGGGAGCTGGGCGATGGCATTGTGCGAGAGTGTGAGGGAACTGAGGCTGGTCAGGTTGGCAAAGGCACCCTCAGCGATGGTCTCCAGCTGGTTGTGGGACAGAGACAAGACTGCCAGGCCCGGGGTCTGGGCAAAGAGGCCGACGGGCAGTACCCTCAGCATATTCCCCTGCAGGTTCAGGAAGGTCAGGCGGCCCAGGGCCGAGAAGACAGAGAGGGGCAGGGACCTGATGGCGTTCCACTGCAGGCACAGCTTCTCCAGGTGGACAAGCTGCGAGAACACTTCCTGGGGCAGATCCAAAATGGCATTGCCATCCAGGAAGAGCTCCCGCAGGCTGCCCAGTTTGCCAAACACTCCTTGCGGCAGGGTGGTGAGGGCGTTGTTGCTCAGTCGCAAGGTCTGCAGGCTGGTGAGCGGGTCGAACAGCTCCTCAGTGAGCTGGGCCAGGTGGTTCTGAGCCAGGTTAAGGGTCTTCAGATGCCTCAGAGGCTGGAAGAGCCCGTCAGGCAGGGTCTGGAGCCAGTTGCCCTGCACCTGAAGGGTCTCCAGGGCATTCATGTAGTGGAAGAGGCTCTCCGGCAGGGCCTCCAGCTTGTTGAAGTTGAGGGTGAACTTGGCCAGCGAGGTCAGGTTGGAGAAGATGGCGGCACTGAGGTTGGAAAATGCACTGCCGGTGATCTCCAGGTCTTCGAGCCTGGGCAGCCCCCCAAAGGCATCTGGCCCAAAGTGACAAAGCTGGGTGTTGAGGAAGACCACCTTGGTCAGGTTAGGGCTGCCCTCAAAGGCCCTAGTTTCCAATGTGGTGAATGAGGTCTCTACAAAGACGATGTCTGTGGCTTGCGGTGGGAGGTCATGGGGGATGGCGACCAGGGCCTCGTCAGAACAGAACACCTCCCGGATGAAGCAGTCACAGCCAGCAGGGCAGGACTGGGCGAGCCTGGCCAGGAGCAGGAGACTGGCCCAGCACAGGCAGGCTCTGGGCGGCATCTCCTAGACCCGAGTGGAGAAAGAAAGTGGGAGAGGGGCCTTTACTAAGGCAGCCAGCGAGATCAGAGAACCGGACCAGGATCTGGAAGAAGGGCCTCAGTTCTGTCAGGCCACCCATGTGGGGAACAGCTCATCATCTGAAGAGTTGTGTTCCTACCCCTCACAGCAGGCTTGCAAGGCCTATGGCTCTCACCTCTAACAGCGAGGAGGGTCTCATGGGCTGTCAGGCTGCCCCCTGCACCTCAGCGCACTTCAGAGCCTGATTTGAGGTGTTCCTGCTGCTCTTTGCATGTCTGCAGGGACAGGACAAACTCTTGTCTTAAGACCCTGCTCCCCCATGGAGAAGGACTATGAGGAGGTTGGTATGGATTCTGTGGAAGGCGAGGGTGAGGAAGAAGGAGAGGAATACTAAAATTGCCTTTCAGTCTTGTGGTATGTCATGCTATAATTCAGCTTCAACGTAGCTAATAGGCTCTAAAGCATCCTGGTTAGACTGCATTTCAATTGTGAATCATGTCTTTTCCATGCATGTCTGTCTTCTTCCAGCATGTCTCAAAGTAAAGGCTTTAAGAAAGTTTGAAAAAAAAACTCCCCGCCATGATGGCACCCATGGAATTTTCCATATGTGGGCCCCAGATGCAGTAGTTCCACAATCATTAGTTTTATTCTTTAAATAAGGGACAGGGATGGCTAGGTTTTTAATTCATTAAATGTTAATTTTTCTTTCATGTCAGCTTCCACCCAGAGGTCACAAATTGGTAATGTAGCTTTTGTTTTGTTTGTCACTCACTCTTTTATGTTTGAAGCATTAACCAATATATTAAAAATTGAAAAATGGGCCCTCCCTGGTGGCGCAGCGGGTTAAAGCCCAGCACTGAGAATCTAAAGCCGCTTCCGCATGAGTTCAATTCCCACCAGCCCCGGAGGTGACCACATGGTGTGGCAGACCTCTCCTGACCCGCCCGCTGCTCCCCTCAGCAGTGTACTTTGACCACCTGCCTGTTCTGTTGCCCACTCTGTCTCTGGTGAAGCCTCTCACCGCCCCTGAGCCTCTGGCCTGTACCCCAGTTCTGTATGCACAAATGATTTCATTTTTTTAAAAAAAAAAAAATTGAAAAATGTTGCGTTAAAAAATCTGGCTTCGAGAAAGCAAAAGAAAAATACCGGGATGGTTTCACTCACCGCAGGAGCATAAAGGACCAGTGGGAAAAATTAATAATAATGAGTAGCTATATAACAGAGACAGTTTATGGGGGTAGAATGGGGAATGGGATCAAAAACGGTGGAGGGAGGGAAGAGCACTGGGCTATGGTGATGGCACCTGGGTGACTTGGTGATGGAAAGCCACGACGGGGATTACAACTGAGATGGGAAAAGTCACAAAATGCTGTAAAAATAAACTATTATATTAAAAAAAATTCTGGCTTTGCACGTTACGATGGGGGACCGCACACAGGTGAATTGGTGGTGGGAAGTCCATGGGGATTACAACCGAGATGAAAAAAATGTACAAAATGAAGAATGATGTAAAAAATTAATTAATTAAAATGAATTATCTTACATCACAAAAAATACCCTGGCTTCGAGGCAGTGTGCTCACATGTCAAAACCCACTGGAGTGGACTAGCCCCACCCCATCAGAGGGCAGGCACCCCCCAGTCACGCTGCTCTCCCCAACACCCTTATTTCCATGGCTAGGAGTAGTCAAGAACTATGAATTCAAGCCCTAGCCTCCATCTTGTTCCAGCTGTGTAACCTTGGGCACATTTCTTATCCAGCTGTGCTTCAATGTCCATATCTTTAAAACCAGGAAAGGAAGGAGGGAGGAACGAGGAGGGCACGCACGCAACGTTGCAATATCATCCTAACTTTTCTCGGTTTCCCTGGTTTAAGAATCCGCATGGGGGATTCCCCAAGCCCTTTGCTGGCTGCCTCTCTGCTGCCCTCTGCCGGTTGCCGTCTCCATGCCCCGATGCTGGCTGGGGCCTACCGGCAACTTCATGCAAATACTGTGCTTACCAGGTCCCCTGTACCCTCACTCCCAGCTCTTCCAGAGTCTTCTTTTCTTAATCAATTGAAAGGGCCTCTTGCTCCCTGAGAAAGTGTGTGCCTCTCTCTCTCATCTCCGCGAATGCTCACACCGATGCTGAGTAAGTCGTAAGGCACGGGCAGTGGATTTCACCTGGGAGGACCTGACAGCGACTGTCCTGCCTGTCCAAGACACGAGGGGGAAAGGCACAAACCTCAGTCAGTAGGGGCCTCCCGATGCTCTGACTCTGAGGGCGGGAGACTTCATCTACTTTCTCCTGAGATAGTTTGCAGAGGATACAGACAAAACCAGTGGTCTCTGGCTGGAGAAGGATGAGTAGGCATCGTCCCACGCACACCTACTCCCTGGGTTGCCCATGAGGTCCCGCACAAAACCCCGAGGAGTCCTGACAGAGCCTCCCTGTTCCTCCCTCTCTGCCCGGCAGAATCCTCCCAAATGACAGCTCCTGACTGTCTCTTTTTGAAGACAGGCTGGTGCTCGCAGCTCTGTGGTCAGCTTCCAGCATCATGTTGACTTATGTGGCTCAGTTCCGGCTGCTGGACTGACCCCTCGGGGCTGGAGTGAGCAAACTGGCAGGCAGAGCCACGCTTCCTTAAAGGCTCAAGCCGGGTGAATGGCCACCAACCAGGCTGTGAGAGCAGCCTCATGTCCTTCCTCTCCCAGAGGGGAGCCATTCTTATTTAGAAGTAACAGGCTGTGGCATTATCCACATAACAGTCCCTGTCCCATCCTGACTAGCCACTTTGACTCTTAGTTCTCAAAGGGCCAGAGAACATTGGGTCATATACACCGGACCTAAGGCCCTAGAGGCTACCTGGTGGGCCCCTGGCAGCTACCTGGTGGCCCCTGGCAGCTACCTGGTGGGCCCCTGGCAGAAAGAGTGAGTCAAGCGCCCCTTCCTTCCCCCACCCTCTGCTCCAGTGTGCCTGCAGGGGGCGCTGGGGTCTAACCCAGGTGGTTTTCCAGCTCCCCCTGCCAGGTGGGAGATGCCCATGAAAGGAAAGCTAAAGACCCCTGACGGAGGGTCTGCTTCACCCACTGGGCCAAGCAGGGCCTCCTCTCTGCCCCGACTGTGTCTCTAACACTGAGTAACTTCTAATCCACTGTCGTTTAGAAATAATGTGCTTTGTGCCCTCCCTGGTGGCGCAATGGGTCAGGACGCAGCACTGCAGTGAGAGTTCCATCCCCAGCCCCAGAGGTGATCTAGATGGCTCAGCAGACCTCTCCTGACCCACCTGCTGCTCCCCTCAGCAGTGTACTTCAACAGTCTGCCTGTTCTGCTCCCCACTCTGTCTCTGGTGAATCCTCTCACCGCCCCTGCACCTCTGGCCTGTACCCCAGTTCTGTATGCATAAATAAACAAATAAATCTTTAAAAAAAAAAAGAAAGAAAGAAAGAATGAAAGAACGTGCTTAAGAAATTCCTAACAAAAGTGACCCAAAGATTCAGATCCTGAATCAAAACTGTGGCACAGAAAGCATAGAAAATCAAGGACCGACAAATCAACTTCAGCTTGGGTGATGGCGCGGGAGGACGTGGGGGTCGCTGGTGGCTGAGTGGAGAGTGATCGCTCGCCTGCCAATTACAAAGCTCTGGCACATATGCGGTGATCTCAGAGGAAGTCTGGAAGTGCCCAGTACAGGGAACTACTCAAGCTACAGCAGTTGCCCCAAAAACACATGGCTAAGAAGAGGGACCCGCTGGCTAACTCTGAAGAGGTGCTAGCGGCCACCCTCCAAGCTTCTGCACCAGTCAGTGGCTCGGGTGAGTGGCAGGCCCATGCCTCACACTTACGCACAGACGCAAGGGGACCTCATCATCTGTCTCTCCCTGCGTTTCCCACCTAAGTGTCCTGTATGTGAATGGAGACTCCACCCGCAGCTCCTCCCCCGGTCCGCCTTGAGGATTTGCACTTCTGTGACAAGATCAGCCTCTGGCAGGTGGACCCGGGGTGACCATCCACACGGCCATGTCTGTGTGCTGGAGCATGATTTGAAATGGCCACAGTCATCATGGCTCTCTGGTCTTACAAACTTTGCCTTGGGAAGAGGGAGGGAAAGCCAGAGGGTGTCTAAAGAACAGGGCATGACCCCTTTCTTACCATCTACTGGGCTGGAGCAGGCAGGGGTGACACTCAGAGAATAATAATAATTATTTCCAACAGACCCACATCCAGCCCAAGTCTCATTCTCACATACCTTAGAATGGCTAAGAGTTTGTATTCTGGAGTCAGACATTCTCAAATCCTGTCTCCATCCCTTTTCAGCTGTGTGACCTTGACTGAAACACTCACTCTCTCTGTGCTTCAATTTTCCTGGCTCCAGAGTGGGGCTGCAATACTAGCTCCCCAGGGAGTGCTGTGAGGACTGTGAGAAGACACCTGGCCAGTGCCCAGGCTGCACCTGGCACAGTGAGCTCTCAGCAAGGTCAGGGTTATCCTGAGTTCAGGCCAGCCCAGCTCTGTTCCAAAGTAGTTAGAGTTTAGCAACAGAAAAACCAATGAGCTCCTCCCTCCAGCCCTCAAGAGCCAATGAGGTGCTCCTCTACAGCACTTCTTCTGGTCCAGTCCTCCCAAGCAAGGGAAATGTGTCCACAGCTCAGTGGAGCAGATGCTGATGGCTCAGGGCAGGGGGTCCTGGACTTAGACGCACCCTCAAGAGCAGGGCCTCTGGGAAGGACTCAGGAAGCGCCCCCAGCACTGTGGGGGCTGGCACCAGGGAGACAGCAGGGCAGCCATCAGAGGAGAGACGCACCTCTGCATTTACGCAGAGACCAGCACATGCCTACAAAATGTTCCATGTTCTCAGCACGCCAATGGAGTTTTACTTTTTTTTTTTTTTTTTGGTTAATTGTCAGTGAGTGAAAAGCTGAAAGCTGCAGATCTTTACTCGGCTAGTACTCATTGTGCCAGTAAAAAGTGGAGGTATGTTCACTTTTATGATTCTTTAGA